CAGGAGCGGAGTAGGAGAAGGCCCTTTTGCCAAGTTCATTCACACTGAGGGAACACTGCAGGTAATAATGTCCTGAGAGCGCACGTTGTAGCTGCACTCATGCAGAGACATGTAGGAGGAGATGTATGAAGGCAGCAGACCAAGAAGTGATTTAAAGATGTAAATGTACCAGTGAGAGAGTCTGCGTGAAGTTAATGATGTCCAGTTAGCCAGTGAATACAGTTGCAGTGGTATTCACTGGCTAACTGGACATCATTAACCTCACGCAGACTCTCTTACTAGTACATTTTCATCTTTAAATCACTTCTACTGCCGGCAATGCAGACCAAGCTCTGACACAGGTCATACAGGGACCTAACAGCCTGTATTAAAGGGCCTGTTACCCCATACTGCTAGAGTATCCCCCCCCCCCCCACACACACACACACACACAGGGTTCCCCTAGGGACGCAGTCAAACACCTTCTCCAAGTCCACAAAGTACATGTAGACTGGTTGGACAAACACCCTCCAGGACCCTGCTGGAGGTGTAGAGCTTGTCCGGTGTTCCACGACCAGGACAAAAACAGCATTGCTCCTCCTGAATCCAAGGTTCGACTCTCCGATGGACCCTCTTCTCCAGAACCCCTGAAAAGACCTTACCAGGGAGGCTTAAGAGCGTGATCCCCCTCTAGCTGGAACACACTCTACGGTCCCCCTTTTTGAATAGGGGTCCACCACCCTGGTCAGCCAATCCAGGGGAACTGCCCCCTCTGTCCACACAATATTGCAGTCGCATAAGCCAACATAACCCCACAACTTCCAGAGCCTTAAGGAATTCCGGGTGAATCTCATCCACCCCCGGGGCCCTGCCACTGAGGAGCTTTTTAACCACCTCAGTGACCTCAGTACCAGAGATTGGAGAGCCCGACCCAAAGTCCGCAGGCTCCGCTTCCTCATTGGAAGACGTGCTGGTGGGATTGAGGAGGTCTTCAAAGTATTCTGCCCATCGTCCCACAACATCCCGAGTTGAGGTCAGCAGCACATCACCTCCACTATAAATAGTGTTGGTGGTGTACTGCTTTCTCCCCCTGAGATGCTGGATGGTGGACTAGAATCGCCTCGAAGCCATATGGAAATCATTCTCCAACATCCCTCCAAACTCCTCCCACTCCCGAGTTTTGCCGCAGCGACGAACCGAGCCGCATGCCGCTTCGACTGCCGATGCCGATCAGCTGCTTCTGGGGTCCCACAGGCCATACAGGCCCGATAGGACTCCTTTTTCAGCCTGACAGCATCCCTCACCGCCGG